TTGGTATAATGCTGTTGACAGCAACTGTGCTGGCACGCCCCGAGCCACCAGTGAACTCTTACTTGCCGCCCTCGCCCGGCGATAGCTACGGCGCACCGGGTCAGGGGCAGGGCCAGGGACAGGGTGGCTTCGGCGGAAAACCGTCGGACAGTTATGGTGCTCCAGGCGCAGGCAATGGCAATGGAGGTGGACGACCATCGAGCAGCTATGGTGCACCGGGTCAGGGACAGGGCAGGCCSTCGGATTCTTATGGCGCTCCTGGCGCAGGCAACGGCAATGGAGGCGGACGTCCTTCGAGCAGCTACGGCGCACCTGGTCAGGGACAGGGCGGCTTAGGCGGACGCCCTTCGAGCAGTTATGGAGCACCGGGCTCTGGAAATGGCAACGGCAATGGACGCCCGTCAAGCAGCTATGGTGCTCCTGGCCAGGGACAAGGTGGCAAGCCATCTGATTCCTACGGTGCTCCTGGATTGGGCAACGGCAACGGTAATGGTAATGGACGTCCTTCAAGCAGCTACGGCGCTCCTGGTCAGGGTCAGGGTGGTTTCGGTGGCAAACCCTCTGATACATACGGCGCTCCTGGCGCAGGCAATGCCAATGGTAACGGACGGCCCTCAAGCAGCTATGGCGCTCCTGGTCAAGGCCAAGGCGGATTCGGTGGCAAGCCCTCGGACTCGTACGGTGCTCCAGGTGCTGGCAATGGCAATGGTGGTGGTCGTCCGTCGAGCAGCTACGGCGCACCAGGCCAGGGACAGGGACAGGGCGGTTTCGGTGGCAGACCATCCGACTCATATGGTCCGCCGGCATCGGGAGCTGGCTCAGCCGGCGCTGGTGGTCCCGGTGGTGCAGGTGGTGACTACGACAACGATGTAAGTAGCAAAATGTTTGGCTCTGGGTTCTTACTTGGCTCCTTCCAAGCACACACGCATACACGAACAATGCGAARCTCGCCTTCAATTGAACGCTTCCTTGTCCTCGCTGCACGCCCTGAAAACTTGCACCGATCCGATCTGCTTGCTCTCTTTCTCTCTCTATCTCTCTCTCGCTCTCTCTCATTTTCTGTCTCCCTTCTATTTCTCACTGATCTCTATCTTGAACTATTCTCTGTATCTCTCTCTCTCTTTCTCTCTCCACACGCTCTGTCACTATCTCGCGCTACCCCATAGGAGCCCGCTAAATACGAATTTAATTACCAAGTTGAGGACCCTCCAAGTGGTCTCTCCTTTGGTCACTCAGAGATGCGCGACGGTGACTTCACCACCGGCCAGTACAATGTTCTGTTGCCCGATGGAAGGAAGCAAGTAAGCAAGAGCTGCCAATCTGAGCTGAATCAATGCTGGGGAAACAGGACAGACTGCCACTTCGAGCGTAGCTAATATGACTTTCTCTTATTCGGTTACAGATCGTTGAATACGAGGCGGACCAGCAGGGCTATCGTCCACAGATTCGTTATGAAGGTGATGCCAATGGTGGTGCTGGCGGTGCTGGCGGTCCAGGTGGTCAGGACTTGGGTCAAAATGGTTACTCTAGCGGTCGYCCAGGTGGCCAGGATCTTGGACAGGGTGGTTACTCYGGWGGTCGTCCCGGCGGCCAGGATTTGGGTCAGAATGGTTACTCCGGTGGTCGTCCCGGCGGTCAGGATTTGGGTCAGAATGGCTACTCTGGTGGTCGTSCCGGTGGCCAGGATTTGGGCCWGAATGGTTACTCCGGTGGCCGTCCCGGTGGCCAAGACTTGGGCCAGAATGGCTATTCCAGCGGTCGTCCCGGTGGTCAGGACTTGGGTCAAAGTGGTTATTCCGGCGGTCGTCCCGGCGGTCAAGACTTGGGCCAGAATGGCTACTCCGGTGGTCGCCCAGGCGGTCAGGATTTGGGTCAGAATGGTTATTCCGGCGGTCGTCCCGGGGGTCAAGATCTAGGTCAGAATGGTTATTCGAGCGGACGTCCAGGCGGTAATGGTGGCTCCGACGGAGGACGCGTAATAATAGGCGGACGTGTGATTGGTCAAGACGCTGGCGATGGCCAGGGATACTCGAGTGGTCGGCCCAATGGTCAGGATGGCGGCTTCGGCCAGGACAACGTCGATGGTCGGGGCTACTCTAGTGGCAAGCCAGGCCAGGGACGCAATGGCAATGGCAGCAGCTTCGGACCCGGTGGTCAAAACGGCGACAACGATGGCAGCGGCTACAGATACTAGACGAGACAAGTGAACACCGAACCAGACAAGACACACACTAGCTAGCTATTTCAGACGAGTTATGGAAAGACGTAGATCAATATCTAGAACTTAAGCGACACCTTAGAACTATGAACTAGTTACCATTACCATTACCAATAGCCGTCAAACGGACACATCCGATCTATCGCCCCGCACTCTACTCTATACAAATCTCACGCTATCTCAGACTATCTTTCTCATCCCATCTTCAATTTCACTTAGGCTAAGTTCAACTTGTAGTTGCATATGAGAAAAAATATTTCGCTTAAGCGAATGAGAACAAAAAAATAGGAGGAGGAAGATGATATATAAATCAAGTTTAGCATA